ATCGTCTCAAACCCCGACAACAAGAGGACCCCCAAACTCCCATCTTTAAGCCGAAGTTTCAGCAGCACCCCGGGACTGTCGTACGCCACAGCCATGGCTCCCGAGCTGTTTGGGCTTGGGATTTCGTCTCCTCTTCGATTTTGGGATCGCAGGCTCTCTAGAGTCGCTGGCCAATCATAAGTTAGGTTAGTCCAGCGTCTGACTTTTTGGGAGGCGATTCTTGCTAAAATTGAGAAAGTGGTCAAGAATCACGGCTTTTTTACTGACCTTTTACCATCGGACTTTGGGGCGCTTCATGATGAAGCCCCTCTTGGGCTGTCGATGTAGCGGCTCCGGGGATTGTGGGGTTGTAGCTTCCGAGCCTCCCCCCCCTCCAAAAATGAGTTGATGAACCCATAAGACCAGAAGAGAGATCTCATGTTGAACAAGTCCCCGCTTGCCCTGCCATTCTCTAACAAATATCCTATACACAAGATCTAATGTCTAAAGAAACCCTAAACCCTAAATCACAACTATGTACTACTATCTAACCTTCCGAAAAGAACCAACAGCAGCGATGTTGTTGCGGGAATGCCACGGCTCTAAGCGCAACGCCATGATACTTCGTAGGGCGTAGGGTTTAAGGGTCACATCCGGGCCCTCATGCTTAGGATAGGGCTAGTAATTATGAAGGCTCTATCAGGGTTTTATAAGTCCCATTACAGACTGTACGGCTCCAGGGTCTCACCATGCTCAGACTACTTTAATCGCAGATCGAAGTTGTGCTCTAGGCTTTGAAGATGACAGGTCGTGAAGAGGCCCCTAAATTGTCCGTCCTGCACCCTGACATGGCCAGATGCAGAAGACCCGCGCATTTCTTTTGGCCGGATCCTTCGGCGGCGATCTCAGGTCCAACGCCCAAGCTCGGGAGTCTCCCAGCGAAGATTTCCTTTTCGATGGACAGCAAGATGTCATGCTAAGGCACGACGGAAGTATGCCGTAAACACCACATGAACCCCCAAACATCCTGAAGCTCCTCTACATATTTCTATATGTCTATATATGTACATATACACACATATATACATATATACATATATGCGTTAATATAATAAACACACACACATATTTATATATATTTATTTATTTATTTTTATATTTATATTTATGTTTTTATGTATTCTTATAATCTTGAGGCCTAAGACCTAAAGCATAAGAGTCCTATCTTATGCAAGAAGGCTAAGGTGGGGCCGTGACGGCCAGAGTTTTTTCTGGGATTCAGGGCAGAAGAAGCCTCCATGCAGCATGCATTATTGGGTTTGAACCTGCTGTCAACAGTCCCCAAACAGTCCTCTGCCGGAGTCCTCCCAAACTCTTTTGGCATGCCGAGCGCAAAGGCCAACTTGTGCGAGATGCTTGCAACTGCAGCTTTGAAGTTAGCGCTTTCAGGGCTGGGGGCTTGCGAGTTTAGGACTTAGGACTGGCATGCTGTGGGTGGCCCTTTCTGCAACATCTTCCTTTGGCCCTTTCTGGCGACCCAAAGAGAAATCAAGCACCTCTAGTTTAGGGCACCGGCTTCATGAGTTGTCTCTACTCCGCTCTGAAAGGAGGTGCAGGATCCTGAAGCTGTCGAGGGCCAGCTACGATCTCTCCTAAAGGCCCCATCACCTTGGTCAGGAGGAGCTCCCATCTATGCGTTGCAGCCAGCATTCGTCGCAGCGATCGGCCATAGTTGAACGTGAGACAAAGCATCTTGGGCTGCCACAGCGCGGTGGCACGGACAAACTTCTAGGGGCATGCGAATCCCCGCTACTTGCTTTTAAAATCAGTTGAAAGAACCGAGGGAGGGAGCCCCCGGCCTTGTGCGACAGCAGGGTTTGCCGAATCAGAAAGAATCAGAAGTAGATACAGTAGACATGGGGCAGTGAGCGGAACCGTGGCGTGCTTTTGGAAGTCGCTCCATGCTTTGGAGAGCGAAAAGGACCCTGTGTGGATCACGGAGAGATCCCAAGCACCTCAACCCCTAGAACCTCTAAAACCTGGGTCCTGCAAAGCGGAGCTATCATCAAAAGCATGCCAGGTCCCTGAACCTTACGTTCGCAGACCCCGAGCTTCCAACCGCAAGCCCTGGAAGTACTCCTATTTGCCACACTTAGTGCCGTCACACACATTTCGTCGTCTCCATCATCAAGAAGAAAACAGAAGTGGCAGCCAGCTCGAACTGCAATGCTCCCGGAATTCAGTAGCGACATACTCCCCCATGCACTTCATTCCCTTTTCCGCCTACCTCAGGGTCTTGGCGAGCCCGTGCAATGCAGAACCTCCCACCAAAATCTTGTAACGTCTACGCTCAGGCTCCTTTGGCAAACCCTTGCACGCGAGCTTCTCATGGCCGCGGTCGGTCCCATGCTGCTTGACGAGTGGTGGTCATAATTGTGGTCCCTTTTCGGAAGCCGTCGGAAGATTGAATCTATGCTAGAATGTTACAGATGGTCGAGGTAAAGCTGCTGTTTCATATCACCGTCTGTTCATCCGGTTCAATATTTTCCGAGAACCTCAACAGGGACCCTAATTTCGACAAGCACTCACATGAACTTTCTCGAGGCCTGGGCAAGCTCAGACATCGACGTTCCCAGCATTCGGGTTTTTGAGGCAAGGCTCTGAGCACCTACTGCCGTATGGTTAGAGTGTCTATCCAGAGAGCCCTATTCCAGTTATGAAAGGCCCGTACACTAAAGCACGGTCCTACGGTTGAGGTTTAGTGGCTTTCAGGGTTTATGGAGCAGGGGATTTCGGAATCGCCGGTCTCTTCCACGGTACGTGGCAAGCAGAGCAACTGAATGCTCGCCCGGCGGCATGCGCTTGGATTCCTTGGGGAGGAGTGGACGGGCAGTGAGACTAGAGGGAGCCCTGAATTTTCCCCCTTTTCTTCTTGATTGAAGCAAGCTGGTATCCGGTGCACGAGCTTACTTACTCAGCGAATCGAGCTTGGCAAAACTTGGAAAGGAACATGGGAGCCTAAGACAACAGTGAGCCCTAACGTGGACTCTGTGTATATAGATATCGTTTCAGGCTTGACGCTCGGACAGTCCAGATGAGAGCTCCTGGTCTTGGAACCAGGCTTTAGGCTTCGAGGCCCTCTTGCACACCCAACACCCTCTAAAACTCTAAACCTTAGACCTAAAACACTAAAACCTCAAACCCGCCCCGAAACCCTAAACCATGAAAAACGTCCCTTTACAACCCTTCGCCAAACATACCCTTGTAGAACCCTTGAACGAACCCTTACAGGAACCTTAAAAGAACTCTAAACCGAGGCCACACTTATCCTGTAAGTCAAGATTCTGGCTTCCTTTGCCACAGCGGCTTGTTCCAGCCTCACTGCACCCAACTTCTCCAAGTCAGGGGTTTTCAATTTACATAACAGGTAGACTTGCATGACGTAGGTTCGTATGTGTGTGCGTATGGTTGGTTTTAGAACTCGTAAAGCAGGAAGGAAGCACCGAATGAATGAATGAATGAATGCATGGCTGGATGGCTGGATGACTGGATGGTTGGTGCTTGGATGGCTGGATGGGTGGATGGATGGATGGATGCATGGATGGATGGATGGATGGACAGATGTATGGACAGATGGAGGAATGGATGCACGGATGGACAGATGGATGGACGGACGGACGGATGGACGGATGAAAACGGATGAGGTTATTAAGTAATGATGGCATTCATGGGTGTGTGTGTGTGTGCGTGTTTGTCTCTGAGTGTATATATGCATGCATATACGTGCGCATTATAATGACCAGTGTGATAGCGGCCCTGCGGTGGAAACTGTTCAGACAGCCCTATGATCGACATCCCAGGCCGACTTGGAAGGAGCTGTCCTTATATGTCCTTATTCGCCCCCTTAGCCACTAGCCCCACTGCTCAACTCCAAACACTTGATCCTTTTTTGTATCACTGGGTTGTAGTTCTGGGGCCCTGAAAAGTATTTGTGAATCGGTACCTCTATACGAACCATAAGGGAAATATTAAAGTTTCCCAAAGTGCCACCTAGATCAAGACTTGTGCAATCGTCTGCCGCTTGACCCTTTTTGCACAGACTTGTGCATGCCCGCCTGGTTCTACCACTTGACCCTATACTCTAAACCCATAACCTCTAAAGCTCTAAAGCCTCAGCCCCCATGTAAACCCCTAATCGGCCTCTCCCGGGACTGAGAGATCATCAGCGCGATCGCCGGCCAGGACACAGGCTCCTGGTCCTGGCTGAGCGAAACTCCAAGGCCAGGTGACCCCGATATTCAGAAAGAGAGAGACAGAGAGAGATACAAAGGTCAGATTGATAGATCGATAGATTGTTTGACTGATCGAGATGGTAGGTAGGTAGGTGGGTGGGTAGGTAGGTAGGCAGGTAGGCAGGTAGGTAGGTCGGTGGGCGGGTGGGTGGGTGGGTGGGTGGGTGGAGAGGTAGAGAGGTAGAGAGGTAGGTGGGTAGGTAGGGCAGACAGATAAAAAGACAGATAGACAGCTGGATAAAATGTGTACACTGTACACATATGTTCCTATGCACGTGTGTATGAGTTTGTGTATGTGTGTGTATACACATAGAACACATGTACATGCATGCCTGTGCTCATAGGTTTAAACAGATAAAGCACATGAATATGTGTACAAGGAAGATATGTATGCGCGTGCACATACATATGCACAAAAGTGTGTTGGGTTTGACTGAATCCCCCAGGCCCACTTGTGCGGCTTGAACTTTGTTTTTGGAACAGGCTTTCTTGTTCAGCCTGGATGTGCAAACTCAGGGGAAAGGAACGGCTCTTAAACGCCATACTTTCCACTTCTGGAGGAACAGTTACGGCTGTACAGGACGAGGGTGTCCGGCTGGACTCTTTCCAAGAGTATGTGTATTGAAGTATTGTGAGGCATTGCAAGCACTAGGCACTGCACCTCAAACGGCAAGACGTCAATGCTCAACTGTACAAGGTTGAAGTCTGCCGAGCTGCGCTCTCATACCTTCATGCTCTGGCTTTCTTTGCCTGTGGGATGTCGTCGACGCGTGATACCCCAGGCACAGGGGCATGCACGAACGCATGCTCGGGAGTTGTGCCTGAGAATCCTGCGGCAGTGTGGCCAGCTCCATACATTCGGTACTTATGGATCACCAAGCCTTGGTCCCGCTTAGCAAAGCAAGAAATCAGGAAACCCAAAACCACAAAAAAATAAAAACAAAAAGGAGCCCTAAGATTGACCAAGAGACCCTCAAGTCCGACGGGACCTCGCGCATGGATCCGATTTGTGGATATGCCCACCTCTGCTCCAAAGCCATAGCGGAAGCCATCGGCAAATCGCGTCGAGCAGTTGTGGTAGACACCCGCCGAATCTATCCGGCTGAGGAAGGCTTCGGCAATCACGGGGTCTTCCGTGACGATGCTCTCCGTGTGCCCAGAGCTGTGGCTGTTGATGTGGTCAATTGCTTCTTGCACAGAAGCAACTGCCTTGACAGCCATAGTGTGGCACAGGAACTCGGTGTCAAAATCATCTTCTGTCACCGGCTCGGAAAGGGCTGCTGGCAGATGAGGTAGACATGTCGCATCTGCCTTGTAATGCACATCATCCTTTCCTTCCAATGCTGCTGCGAGCTTTGGCAAGAAAGATGGCGCCACATCTTCATGCACCAGAAGTGTCTCCATGGAGTTGCACGCTGCGCAGTAGTGCGTCTTGGAGTCGACGACGATTTTCACGGCTTTCTCCAAATCTGCCTTGCTGTCGACATAAACGGCACAGATTCCGTCTGCATGGCCCAGAACAGGAATGCGGGAGGCATCCTTGATAGACTTGACCAGCTCGTTGGAACCTCTTGGAATGACTAAGTCGATGTACTTGTCCTGCCTTAAGAGCTCCGCAACTTCTGTGCGGGTGTCAACCCCTTGAACGCAATCCGAAGGAAGGCCGACATCTTGCAAAGCTGCAGACATTGCCGTCACAAGAGCTGCGTTGGATCGTTGTGCCTCCTTGCCACCTTTGAGGAGCAAGGCATTGCCAGACTTCATAGCTAGGGCTGCAATCTGAACAGCGGCATCAGGTCGAGCCTCAAAAATGATGAGGAGAACTCCGATCGGACATGTCAGCCGGTATAAGTCCAGACCTTCAGCAACTTTGTTTGCATAGGTCACCTGGCCAAGGGGGTCCGGCAGGCTCAAGATCTCATCAATGCCCTTCAAGAGGGTGTCAAACTTGGCGCCACTAACGTCCAAGCGCTTGAACAGCGAACTGGACAGCTTGCCTGCTTTGACAGCAACTTCGGCCTCTGCCCTGTCCTGGGCGTTTGCCTCTTCGATCAGCGCTCGCTTCTCCACCAGGTGCTTCTTGAAGGCCTCTAGAGCCTTGTTCCTGAGGCTCCCGCTAGAACCTGCTAGGCTCTGACCGGCGATTCGTGCTCTTTTGGCCACCTCTTCCATGGCTCAAGCTATGCTCAAGCGTGCTCGACTACGTCTTTTGGGTGAGATTTGTTGCCAGATTTCTTGCGCCAAGAACGGCAGCTTTGGACCCCTAAAGACGAACCCCTGACACCCCAAGCACAGACAATGATAGTCATTAGTAGCCCCTTGGGCTCACAGGACAATAAAGAATGAAACGTGACTTCTGGAACGATCCTAAACCCTAAACCCCAAAAAGGGCTCCGACACTTCGACTTGGCACTCGCAAAGTTTGGGGCTGGCGCCTGCTGACTCTGGGAAATCTTGGCGGCAATCTCGCCAATGTTCTCCTGGGTTTAGGGTCTTGCGTGAAGGGTTTAGCGGTGTTTGGGGTTGCGATTTTTGGACTTCAGACTTTCGACATGACCCTCTGCTGCACCCTGCTGCAACTATGGACAAACATGCACGAACTGCCGTAAACATTTTCGTGGTCTTCCGGGTTGAGCGTATGTCTCATGATCCCCGAGACAGAGTGGACCCAATGGCAAACCGACCACTAAATTGCCCAAAAACAGCTTCGCAAGCTCGAGTTTCCCAAGATCTGGACCTGCAAGCCCTGCAATAGTAGATAGCTCTATACAGTATGCCAGCGAGCCTCTCCTCACAAAACTGAGACTTCCGGGACGTACACTATGGTCACTATGGGTCTTGTCTTCAGTTAGCCTTTCAATGGTGAGCATTTGAGACCTAGAGCACAAAAGGCTCGCGCGTATTTGGACTAATCGTGCCCTCCTCGATCAGCGACGCGATGTTGTCGTCCTTCTCTGCAATCTTACCTTGGAACTGTGACCACCGCTTCGAACGTGGAAAAAGACCGAATGAGGCGTTTGTTGCAAGTAGACCGGCAGAGCTCAATTTTCGGCATGAGGTTTTTGAAGCCCATTACGGCCCCAAGGCTCTCTGAAGCTTGGGCTTTGCTCTACTTCTCCGGTTTCCTTTGGAGAACTAAAGCTTGAGCTTTGGGATTACATGGGTGTTCCCGTGCCTTTTTCGGATCACATAGGGGCTCTTAGTACCCCAAGGAAGGTTGAATGCCACTTACTCTATACTGGAAGCCAGGAGCCTGAGAAACCATAGGCTTTCGAAGGATCCTCGATTAGTAATGATTAGTATATCTTATAGGGGCCTTGAGCCTTAGAATAGGGTTGTGGGGGCTACAAAAGACTATAACTTGATGTGGCCTATGTGGGAACAGTATTACTAATGATTCCGACTACTGTATGAAGCCGTACGAGTAGGGGTCAAGTGCGGCACCGCGGCTGTTGCAAAGGTCGACCATCTCGTTCAGTTCGGCGTTCTGCTCTGCGCTAGCAGAGACAAAGCGACGGTGCACCTGTAATGCGGGGGTCTCGCGGGGACTGGTGGCAGGGATGAACTGCAACACCGTTTTCATTTGCAGACCCCCCGACCAAGGGCACTCCAACACCTCCCCCCTCCAAATTAAAAAGAAACACACCCTCCAGAGCCTCGGCTGCTACAACCAGCTCGGCGACAGGAGCCAGGGTCGCCCTGGCGCCGTCCTCCGGAAAAAGCAGATCCAGAGCTTGATGCAGGGTTATCCTCTGAAGGTTACCCACTTGCATGTGGAGCCAGAGAGCTCAAACGCTCAACTCTGCATCAACAGAGTTTAGGTGGTAGCGCCCCAAATCAAGGCGTCAACACTCTGTAGACTTGCACCCAGATGCATTCAACACTCAACCCTGCTGCTTAGGTGCATAAGCTCGGCGTGTTTATCCAACCACTACATCCCAAAAACATACTCTCATCCTCTTCTTGAGACGCCATATCATTGTTGAGATCTCGCTTCTGTACCATGGTTGGTTCGGGCTGTCTGGGTGCGGTGCTTCTCAAAAGCACTGTTGCTTTTTTCTTTGGGCGGGGGTGGGTTTAGGGGTGAAAGGGGAGCCTGGAGCCTCAGTTACCCACTTACCAGCTGCCTCCTGCGGGAGGAAGACTCGCGGTAGGTCCACAAGACGCCTCGCAGTTCGGATGCCAAAGACAAACACACGTGGGAGAGCCGAGGGCAAGGGCGCAGGTCTTCAGAGCTGAGCAGGGGTGTCCAACGCTTAACTTCGAAAGCCAACCTGAGTGGGATTTGTGCCCTACACCCCCAATCCTCCAAACCCTCAACCCGAAATACCCTAAAGAAACCCTTCAACGTCCCCCACCTCTCGGCATCCAGCCCTGCTGCATCCAGGGGCGCCCGGACAAGCTGGCGGACTTCGTGTTCCAGCTGCCTTACTGGCTACATCAACCACAATGGACTGAATAACTGGACTCGGGCTACTTTCGCAGAGATCAATAAAGGGGTAGAACACGGTGTAGGGGTTCATGATAGGGGCCCTAAGGAATCATTTGGGTTGTTGCTTGGTCTCCATAGGTTGTGCAGACCCATGAATTACATCAAGGCCTAAGGCTATACAAGGTTACAAGAGTTCCGCGAGGTGATGAACCCCTATATAACGTGAGCTCTACCGCCGTTATAAAATTTCCCTTTTACTACTGCCACCCGTAAGTCCCTTCTCCCTAAACCCTGGCACTGAACCCGAACGCGAATGCTTATCATGACAGGAAGACAGGGGAGCAGTCTGGAAGGCTCATTTCGTCTGCGGCCGCCTCAATACTAAATAATGTAGGATAGTTCTATACTTGTGTTTTTCCTGTACTAGACTGTACTACATGATACTATATTCGGTCGTGCCAAAAGCCCCAAACCTCTGGTCCTCCCCCCAATTCCTATGACTCCAATAGTATAGTATCTTGTAGAAAGTGTAATGTAATCCAGCATAGTGTAGTAGAGTAGAGTATAGTAGAATAGAATAAAATATAGCAGAGTAGAGTAAAGCATAGTAGAGTATAGAGTAATAGTGTATACTGTATAGTATATAGTATATAATAGAATACAGTATAGTATAGTCTCGCATAATAAAGTGTAGTGTAGTTTAGTCTAGTATAGTAGAGTAGAGTGGAGTAGAGTATGGTATGGTATAGTATAGTATCGTATAGTATAGTATGGTAGAGCAGCGTAGAGTAGAGTAGAATAGAGTAGATCAGAGTAGAGTGGAGTATATAGTACATTATATTACTCACCCCAACTGCTAAGCTCCAATGGTTCTTCACTTGCCTTATAGCCCCTTCTCCCCGCATCGTGGCGAAACCCCAAAAGATCTATGTTTGGCAACAAACACCCCTAAGCAAGGGCCCAGGCCGCGCGCGCTGCTCCGCTGCAAGGAGGTCAATCACCTGACGAGTCGAGGCTTTGGAGGCTTGGGGCTTTGGGCTCAGCATGTTTCGCCATTTTGGAGGCCCTTTTTCTATCCGCTCAGCATGGATTTCAAATTTAGGGTTAGGGGGGGCTTTGCAAGGGCCGGGTTCCCAAGAAAAACCCTAAGCCCTCAAGCCCTACATTGGGATTCATGCTGGTCTGAGGCCGAAATCAGTGAAATCAGGCTCTGCCGATTTTTGGGCTTGCGGCTTGTTGCTTGAGACTCTTTCTGATATCTCCGCTTTCTCACAGGAAGCCTGGCCCCGGAGGGGGAACAAAGCTGAGAGGGCTGTCAGGCTGTCAGGCGTAAGGGTTCCTATCCGGACTCCAACACTTATGCCAAGTCGTTGCCGAATCTTCCAAGGCTGGGCCAGAATTCCTACGATCCGGTGACCTCGCTGGCGCGCTCGGCATCAAGGAACTGATCCCAGTACTCCTGGCATCTAGGGCTTAGAGTTGAAAGCCGGTAGAGGAGCGAGTGTTCGAACATACCGCGCACAGACATTTCTGGTGTAGCCATGTCTAAGACTTCTTACAGGTTTGCCCTTTGCTAGCCAGACCTTGAGCCCCAAACCGAAATGCCCCAGCTGAGGCACATTGCACACTGTGTTGGCCTTCTGGTTCCGGACGTCTTGCAAACATTGGCTCCCAAGAACAGCTCTCCAAAACAGTCAGAAAATACAGGAATCATGCGCCTCCAAGCCCACGGTGCGGCGCGCCAACTGTCGTGCCTTTCCATGGTGCCGTCCAAAAACATGAACACGACTCTCGAACCGTGAAAAGAACGCAGGTAGCCCGCTCCTGGCTTTAGAAGCAAGGCCTCTGGGCATTGCCCTACTGCTACTGTGTCGCTGCTGCTACGGCTAGTGCAAGTGCTGGTGCTGGAGTCGGAGCTAGAGCTGGTGCCGGTGCCAGTCTACTACCATTACTACCACTACCACTACCCCCAATGCCACCACTACCACTGCTTCCCCTTGTTTTGCGGCTGCGGCTTCGTCTGCGAAGACAACCACCACCACCACCACCACTACTACTACAAGCACCACGATGACGAAGAGGACGAGGACACGGACCCGGACGATTTTAACGAGGGGGGCACATCGACGAACACTTACTACTGAACATGCACTCTTCTACGTCCTGCACTTGTATTCATTCATGGGCTTGGCTCCTCCTTCTCGAGGCCATCGATCTCCGCGGACATCTGCTGCCTGACAATGCTCCGAGCGGACGTTGTCATGAGAAGACTGCAGCACCATCTCAATCATGAAACGTCCTCATGAAACCCCAACCCAATGCAACTGCACATGTACCAGTAGCAGGATCCTGTACCAGGACCGGACCAGCACAAACGCCATCCCCAACCAAAGCATCATCATCACCATATTCAGCGACGCGACGCCTACAGCTTTTTTGTGCTGCGATTGTCAGGCCGGGCACCTCTGCTTTTTCCGCGCGTCCACCAGCTCCTGCACTTTTCCTGGGTGGCTTTGAAGCTTTAGTGACTTTACGCTTCCGCAAGAATATCCAGAACGAGAAACACCTGCAACCAAGGTAAGAAACATGGCCATGGCCTTCACACGAAACAACTACCGGAAGAAGCACTGTTGCCGGCGCTGCGGCTGCTGTACATCGCTGAACGACAATGAAACCCAAGACATCCATAAACCAATAGGCAATGTAGAGGTCGAATGGAATCAGAAGAAAGAAGCCCCGGGTAACGGGATGCCTCCGATCATACTGCACTTACTCAAAGATGACAATGGAACAAGGGCGCCACTGAAGGCCCTAAGCCCTACAACACGAGAGAGGCAAGAAGCTGCTGGTCTGGCGCGCTTTCTTCTCCCACCAGGCACAAACGTCCCGGTCACTTGCCATGTCCTCCGACGAAGCAAAAAGGGTTTCCCCCTCCTACTTAGCATAGAAAAAAGGTTCTAGGAACTTTCGGAGCTCACACTCGGACAATCCAGGCGTAGGAAGTTTAGGGTTCAGTCTGTGGCACGGTGCTCAGCAGCTCAGCACTTCGTGACTTCGTGAACCACTTCCTTTTGAGACCATGCCTACAAATGACAACGACCTGCGACTGTCACGGGAACATGGTGAAACGACTCCATGGCAGGATGCCCTGGTAAGTGGGGAACCCAAACCCGAAAGTCCAATACTCTCTTCTGGACACCCTCCAAGATTTGGACCTAAATCCCCCAACACCTCCTAAAGCCTGGCCTTGAGGCCCTTCAAGTAAAATTACCAGCACTACTCGTCCTGGACCCATGCTCCAATTTTCCAGGATCAGAAACAAATGATCATAGCAAGATCCTCAGCCTTAAACCCTGCATTTCTGCAGCCTTGACATGCCGTTGGACCCTAAAACCAACCATAGCCCTCCACCCTGAATCCACGACCCCAAATCCCGGACAAAATCCTCAATGAAACCGGTAAGCACCGTAAACCCTTATAACAACCTTTGTGAAAATCTGTTAAAAACCGGGACTCTGCCGATCAATTGGGAAGCCGACCCTACTAAAACCCTAAACGCTGAAGGGCTCCTCGTGGGCTGTCTTGTCTCCGGCGGTTGCCCGTGCAAGGCGATCCTTGAAGGTCTGCAGTCGCTCCTCGCCCGATGTGGGTTTAGGGCATTTGGGTTTCGGCGCTCACGCTCGGACAGTCCAGGCGAGGCATGTGGTCTTGAGTTGGCAAGGCGCGACTAACTGAAGAGAGAGGATTAATCTCAGAACAAGATCCCTTAGCAAATGCAGCCTGCTAAAAGGGTTTGGGGTTTCGGCGCTCATACGCGGACAATCCAGGCGAGGCATGTGGTCTTGAGTCGGCCACGTGAAACCCAGAGCAATCAGACGAAGGAGGAGCACAGCACACTGACCCAAGAACACTGCTACAAGAACATTCAATACTCCTCCTAGCTCACAATCCTGTTGCTAGCTCATGGTCCCCGCAAGGCAGCTAACGAAGGCACAGGTGTTGCCCCCTCAAGCCCTTCGCTCCATGGAGGGCGTTGTGGGCTCGATGTCCTGCTCTTCGAGCTCCCAGATTTTGGCACGTCCCAGCGTACACGGTTGGGAATCCAGCCAGTCACCGGCTGCTCTCCTTCTAAAGGCATCAGCATGTCTTTGACTTGATCCCCTTCATCGAGGGCGGCCTTTGTAGTAGGCACCTTCATGTCGCATAGGAATTCCCACATTCGCGACACTTCACCACGTGCAGAGAACCACTTGCTTTCGTCTTCCGAAAACAGCCGCTATGAACCTCTTCATCATGCAGACATCGTTCGTGCAGAAATGCAGGGCATTCGCCACTTAAATTCCTCGTATTCGCAGGTTCAGATGTGTTCGTCAACGCAGGCCAGAATGCCTTTCCGGCTCTCACGCTGCGCATTAGTCGCAGGCGCCCATGCCGGATAGCAGCCGCTCCGACCACCAAGTCACGAGGGCTCCCCATTTGTTGGCCGACCAGCATCAGGTCCGTCCACCGGAAAACGACAGCCATGGCTGCAGCGACTGCTGGTTGCTGGTTCCGACTCCAGATCTCTCCACCGTGTCGTTGAAAGCCAGGTCGACAACCTGATAGTTATGCTTCACGCCTTCGTTTGCCAAAAACTTCGTCCGCGAGGAGCTGGTCCGACGGCAATAATTTTGAAATCGCGAATAGCCTTCGTCAGGACCGTCGGGGTGTACTTCGCGTCGGTCTCCTCATTGATGTGCTGGAAGTCAAACTTGTTAAGTCCATTGCAACTCCTGCCATTCCGATACGGTTCTGCCATGGCTCGCGTGGTCCTCGACATTCCAGAAAGACGAGCCGCTGCGTCGAATCGACCTTCGTCGCCCATCAACTCGCCAAGATGTGCGCAGACGGGGCACGCAAAGCACTGCTGCACATGGTGAAGCCCGCGTTCGTTGATGTCGACACCACAAATGTCAAGGTCGGAGTCTGGGCTCGGACTTGAACGCGGTCGCCTTGAACGCAGCAGCGGTGAAGCGCGGTCTCAAAAGTAAGAGTCGCCAAAGTTAAGCAGACGCTTGCGTGAGCCAAAATGGCTCTGGGTTTTGGGCTTAGGGAGTTTAGCTTATACTGTAGGGCTCAGGGCTGCGCGATCTAGGCTTTCTGATTTCGGGATGCATAGAAGGCTCTCGGAGGCGGGGCCAGGACCAAGGACTTCGGGTGTTCTGCCTGTCTTCTCGTTTGGCCGGCAGAACAGCACCTAACAAGACGGCGGCCAAGGACTTGGGCTGGAGGTTTCCATGCGGCTAGAGCCTGGGTTCGAGAGACCTTAGCATGCGGTATGGACCACTACTGCACTCCGATTGTTGACTGCTCCTGAGGCTTGGAGTCCGCGGGCTGTGGATCCCAAAAACTTGCAATGGCCCACCTTAGAAGTTTGAACACCTGTATCCTGAAACCCTAGTTCTCCGTCCGAACCCGAAAATCGGAGGCCCACACTTCAGGCCACCTGGATGCCTATGTGGATGCTCAGTGTGCAGAGCCCAAACTATGTGCCTAAAGCCCGGGACACACTCTATGGACCCCAGGTCCTTCAAATATGTTGAGGTCGTGCGCAGCCGCTTCATTTCGTCCGAAATGGCTTCCTGCTGAGGTGAGGCGTTACCAATGAGCGAATCGCAACGGCTCCCTCTCGCTAATCTCAGCCGTTGCTACAAGCCTGTTCGGACAGAAGTCGTATGCCTCTTCTTCCGATCCAGCAATTTCTGTCTCCCGGACCTGTTCCCTAAACCCCGAAACTCCAAATCCTGTCCTGCTCCGCATGCATCTCCTGAAGGTGCTGCCGACCCTTCGCACACCTTTTCAACTAGTGGCTCGGCTTTCTCCCCTCTCCAATAAAAAGCATGCGCACGCCTTTTCATATCCGAAATGAAATCTGAAAAGTACCGGCTATTGCAAGTGGCCGCCGCCAATGCATCGCAAGAAAGTCTGGGAGAGAAGGGACCGGCAACATGGTCCGTCAGCACTCGGGACTATTGCCCGCCATCATTATAAGCGTCAGGTTGCCACAAAGAAATGCGATTGCCATTCCCATACAAGCCCCTTGTAACAATGCAGACGAATGCAAACCCCGCTCTAATTCTTCACCCTGGCAGAGGCACAAAATCCACAAATATCCCTGCAAACACCTTTATGATTACGACCCTAAACCCCAATTAAACACTATAAGGCACGACACCAATATTTTGACCCCCGTATGTCACCGGTCTTCGTTTCATCCAGGCGCTTCTCTCGCAGCTTCGCGACCAAGTTCCGCGTGCGCAAATCACCTTCCAACTCGTCCTCCGAAAGCTGGGACGGGCTCACAGAGAGGGGCTTCGGGCTTGGGGCTCAGGGTTGAACCGAGTTCTTATGAAGGAGCTATCAGGGTTTAGGGCTTGGGGCTTGAGGTTTGGACTCTCGCAACTCGTACTCGGACGATGCAGGCGTGGCTGGGTCGGGTGGGCAGGCTACGTCAAGCCAAACCCTTATTCCCCAAGACCCCCGACAGTGTTTGAATGAGCTCTTAGAGGTTCCCGCTTCGCCACTCTGCGGACGCGGAGAGGGTGGAACAGAAGGATCAGCAGCAACGGGAAAAGTTGCAGTGCAGAGCAAAAATTAGTAGCAGCAGCCGCAGCTGTGGAGCAGCAGCATCAGCAACAGCAACCAGGCACTGGGAGCAGCGCAGTGACCGTCAGCATTGTAATCGCACTCCTCCTTGCTATTATCAGCATCTGGTAGAGAGACTCACAGTTCTCCCTTCTTCAGCTGCCACTGCCGCATGTCATTCGCCAACATTAAGACACACTTGTCGCAGACGTGCATACACTATGCAGATCTTCTGTACCTTACCCCTAGAATGTCGTAGAAGACTTCCGTCCCCCTACACCCCCCTCCCAATCCCTCCTCCGAGTGGTCGAGGAAAGCCGACTCCCCATCGAGGGAGTCCTGGCGGGCTCTCTTCCGGCTCGGCGCTATGATAACTACCACCACCATCAACATCAGAAGCATCTCCCCCCCAAAACAAAATAAGCGTTCCAGGCCCCAGGGCCCAAAGGCTCTCCTCGTCGCTGCCCTCCTCGCTGCTGCTAAACTCCGACTCATCGTTGCTTTGCCGCCTGCAGGCCCGGATCCATCCCGAAGAGACAGGGCTGCTGAACCGTAGGGCTTTGGCGATAGGGTTGGGCACAGTGCTCCGATGCAGCAGTCCATACATACTCTTCTCCAGAATCGAACTCTCAGGCTCTGATGTTCGCAGCTCGCGGTTCACAGTTCGCTTTTGCTGCGGTTCCCCCCTTGCGGGGCCGGAGACCCAATGACAAAGCACTGACTTCAGGACCCAACGGGAGTGTGCAACTGTCTCCTTACAAGAAAGCGATGTAAGCGAAAAGAATGTCAGGCTCCCTTTTGCAGATGTGGGGGTTCCAAAAAACTGGCAAATCCCCATATGAACACAAAACCATCCATAATACACAGACCCTTTCGGAACATTCCTTTAAAACAGCCGTATTAAAACAAGTCCTTCAAGGCTTTCTTCATGTTGTCCTTAGGGCAGGAGTCCTTCGCGAACTCTCAAACCCAGGAGCTGAGAAACTGACGAAACTCCTCAGACACTGAGCCCCCCCTCCAGAAAAAACAACCCTAAACTAAGGAAGCCTCCCGAAAAAAAAAAAAAACACTAGCACAGGGACCTGAATATCTAAACAAGGCGTTCGTTTTTTTTTGG